ACTACTGATGGACAAGACTATGCACCAATTGGATGCAAGAACCCCCTACTCACTTCCTTCCTGACCCGAACTTCAAGCTTTTCGCTTTTGGACCCTTTCAGTGGCAAACACAAAGTTTGGACTGTGTTTGGCCCATCCACTTAAGTACACCAGTTTGGACCACCTACCAACTGGTGCTGGTGTTTGTCCATCCACATTTGTCAGTCATCGCTTCGCGGCCTTCCTGTGATACACCAGTTGCCAGTTGTGTCCTTTGGGTTTCACAGCGTCATGTGCAAGACCATTACCTGGATGACTAGTTGAACGCTAATCTGCGTTTCGCCTAAGTCAGTGGCGTGTGCATGAACTGGGTCCATTCGCAAGGCTTGCGAATTGCGGACACAAGGCAGGCATTTTGGCAGAGCCTTGGCAGCATTTTGTTCCCCTCCTTTCCCTGAGCATGTGGGTTTTCCATGGGTTTGGAAGCACAAGGACCCCAGGCTTTCTTTATCCCCGGAGCACGGTTCCCTCTTATGGCATCAGGCCTTGTGACAACTAAAACAAAAAATGGCCAAGTTGTTTGGGCAGTGTCCAGCAAGCGAAGGAGCGACCAGGAGCTAGAAGGGGGGTATGGCATACCCCTGACGAGTGATTCGTACCACGACTCAAAAACGTAGCCACGACTATGTAGGGGCTGGGTAGATGTGGTGAGGTAGTGCTCGTAGCGATCGTAGCGATCGCTGACGCTCTCGGGTGTTCCTTTCAATGCGTCAAAGAGAAGGGGGTCCCTCAATTTCACCTTTTTTCGACCTCCAAAAGTGGCAGTTTCAATGGACACCAGCCAAATCGCAACTTGAAAGGTGGAAATCAAGCGGAAAAAGGCCAGCTTTTGCAAGGGGGTTCCTATACGTTTGGCTTTCGCAAAGGCCCCTTGGAGTTGGCAGCCTGGATTGCCAGTTGCTCGGAAATTCTGTCTTGCTCAAAACCATTGGCCTCTGTTGCGCGGTGGCATTGTTGCATGGTATGCGGGGAGCTGATCATAGATCGACTTAAGAGCACTTGGCTTTGGATTTGGGTTCCGTTCCGACAGTTGCTCCTCGGCTTGTGGCCGTGAGTAGATGCTATGGGGGTCGTGGGATCATGGGATCATGCCATGCCGCAGGGGGCAAAATAGCCCATAACCAGCCCATCAATTCGTTGCTTGTTTCCACAAACCAACAAGTGACGCGCTTTTGTCTCCATATCCCCCAGTCAGCTCACCCCCGCAACTTTTTGCGCCCTTTGCATTCGATGTGTCCGTGGTCCTTTTCCGGAAAGCTGGTCGTTGGTAGCTGCCGACGTCCAATTCTCGGAGTTTTGGGACGTTCACCGGTTGAGGTCTTGGGTGGCCACGACCACACGGAGTACATGAATCTGCATGGCCCAGATCACAGCTGCCTGCTCTTGAAAGCCGGCCCAGCGCTCGGTTCAGGTAACCGCTACCTCACTTACTGAGTTCTTGGATTTGTGGGTGGACCGTTTGAGTGGAAACCAACAAATTGGTGGTTTTTTTGCCAACCGACTCAGGAAGTGAGTTACTCGGTGGTTTGGGTTGGGTTGCTGGGTTGGTTCTGGTTCTTGTAGAGGGTGAATGAGAAATCGTCCCTCCAAGCCACCATTCCAAGCCACCATTCCAAGCCACCAGGGAAGCTGCTGAGTCCAAACAAACTCAGGCAAGGTGTGTGGCTTTCTTTGGTTGATGGTACTGCTGGCGGGAGTCTGTTTCAAGACGCACACTACCCATTTTAAAGGGGCGTCCCGTTGTGAAGACCATGGTAGTCTACTGTTAGTTTGGGCAGGACATGGTGTGCCCACCCCACTTTTACATTAAAACGAGCGGTCCCCAATTGTGACGAGGAATCATTGAATTGTGTATGTTGCTCAGTTTATTTTTGAGGGTGCCCTTTCGGCGGTTTGGTTTTAGCGAAGTCAACATGACAAAAAAGCAAACACGATTTTGGAGGTCATCCCCTTATGCGACAACGCCGATAGACTGTGTGACATGCCCATTTGCGACCCACTGTTTGTCGAGTTGCCCGAATTATTTTGACACGTACTTTACCCTAAGGGTTCAAGTATTTTCTATCAGGATGTACTTTAGCCCCCTTTCAGACCCCCAAAAGCCATCCTCAAAGGGTCCAAGGGACCTTCTCCGAGGCATGGACGCACAGAAGGCGGGGGTCATGGACTTGATTTGGCACAGCCCTGAGGCCGGAAGGGCATTTCGCGCGCGCGCGTTTCGCCCGCGAGGTTTGTTCAAAGTCCTTTGGGGGTCGGGAAGTGGAGAAGGCGTCAAATCCGAAGAGGGCCAAGCCAAGATGAGAATGTTTGGATTTTGACCCACTTAGTAGGCTTTCATCATGGCGCCATAGATATAGGCTACTTGCTATGTCGGCGCCCACTTTTTGGCAAATCATGGCGATTCACAGGAACACGGCATTGTCGGCTGGTGAATTTTGATAAAGCACCCAGACAAAGACAAGGGATCCACAAAAGCAATCCCTTGGGATCATTGGGTTGCAAGTTGCAGTGTGCCAACATGGGAGTGTAGACTCCCTGAGTTCGTGGACTTTCTACTTTTGGGAATACCGTTTTAGTGAAGACCAGAAAGTTTGGGCGTTTTCTGGCCAATTCACACCGGAAGTGAGGATTAGGGTCAGCCAATCCTATGTTGAGTACCGGTAGGAATGCCAAAAGCATGGCCTGTGACAGGGTCAATTTATCCTCTCAAGCCACCGATTGGAATGAAGGTGAAAAAAAAAGGGCTCTCTCAGGGCTGAAAACACATTTGGACAATGATGAACGACTCGTGACTCAAGGTTCCACTTTTGCTTTTACCACTCCAAGGTAGGCTTACTTTTTCTCCCACTAGCATCTGTGGGAGGGTACCTGGACGATCAATGTCCTTCAATGGACCCTCTGTCGGGTTCCATGGCAACGTGGGAGGGAGTGTAAACCCAGGGCTGGTTGAGTTGCCCTGGGTTTGAGTCTGAAAAAGTGGAACCCGACCGCTTGCCTTGATTGAAGTTGAACACCTTTTCCCCTGAGACTCCTACAAGCCTTCTCCCCCACGATGTGCAGTGGGCCAAATTTACACGAAGTCAATGGCTTGCCAGGTTGTCGTCCAGGGCCAGTATATGTTTGACACAGGGATAGCATAACGCAAACCTCTGCCTGAGCCCTTCAGCGATATTGTGGTAGTTTCGTCAGGGATCCCTCCATTTTTGTTTTTTGAACCTTCAACAGTGGCAATTTGTTTCAAAGGAAACCGCCAGTCAGTTGCAACTTCCGATTCCTGCTCATTGGGATCCGCCGTTGGTGCCACAGGTTTCCTTTTTCAGGCTAGTTTGGTTCAAAACAGAGCCGGCACTGGTTTGCACGGGTTTTATGCCCCATTTACCAGGATCATTATTTTGAACCAACTGGCAACCTATGCTTGGTGCCGGATGTGAGGACAAACAGCCCCAAATCGACTTCTACGACCTGATCCCGTTGTACCAGTTCGCGAAGAGTAAAGCGGCGGCTTGGATCGGAGGGTCTTCCGGTTCCCTCTGGGTCCTTTGTTTTTTTTTTTGGGGGGGGGGGGAAAGTGGTCCGGTTCCTTAGGTTTTCTCGTTTTTTTGCTGGTTGAGTCGGGGGGCTCCGAATTTCACCCACAAGAGGTTGTTCACTTTGCGCAGGGGATCTGAGGACAGCCCAGTGTTGCTTTGTTTCTTTGGGCAACACACGCGCTGGGCGCAAGTTGCTCCCCTGTGGGGGCCAACAAAGTTCACCATGGACACTCAACGTAGCAGCAGTGTTCCATGTTTTTTTTTAGTGAAGGTAGACGAAGATAGGGTTGCGGGTTGCTGGTCTGCCGAAAAGGCTTTCAGAATCCCAAAAAGTTAAAGGGGAGTATCCCTTACTACCCTCCTCTTCCCGGGTTTTGATCGTGGCCAAATAAATAGGGAGTCTGGACAAAACTGAATATCCCTTTGGGTAAAAGTATCCCTTTCGGTACAAATGGAAGAAGTGGGAACATATCCATCCCCTTTCACTTTCGGTTTCTAGTTGGGACGATTCCCGCATGTGGCTAACCTCTCACCAAACAAAGGATCTGCCTTTACTTCTTTGAGCAAACTCCCAGACGCAGAGATCCTTTGGGGTCAACAGCAACCAAGTCCCAATGAAATACCTGGATTTTGGGTGCACCATGTTAATGCCGATCGGTTTTGATTTTATGACTCAGTTTTCCCATTGCTTTCCATGTGTACCAAAAGGAATATGTTTTCGTTCCAGACCCCCCCCCCCCCTCCATTTCTGTTGTGTGTGGCCCCCCATGTTATGTATTTGGCCAGGTGAGCCGCTCAGTGGACAAGCACATGCGGAAGTTGTGGAAGATGGAGCAGGGGAAAGCCTTGGTGCACTTGACCGTCTTCAAGGAGGAGTCCATCATGCTCCTTGGTCCAAGAACCCAACAGGGTTACCCTCCCTCAGACCAACAAAAGGAAGCTCCCACAAGGCCTCTGTAAATGGAACCAAGTCTTCCAAAGGGGTCCTGGGAGCTTCCATGTTAGCCAGGGGGAGGGTACAAGTTCTGGCTTTATTAAGCCTCTTCTTCACTCTTGGATGATGTTCGTTGAGTTGTTTTTTGGTCTTGGTTTCTCACCCCAACAGGCTATCGACTTTGAGGTCCAGTGCCGTTGCCGACCTTTGTTGAGCCTCTTTTTTCTCTGGTGTTGGATCATGCGTGTTTCGCTTTTGTTTTTTCTCCGTTATTTGGTTCTGTTCATTATTAGTACGGGGGCTGCAAACGCTTTGTTGCTACTAAACCAACGGTTGTAAAGCTTTGCTAGGCCTGTTTAAGCGCCTGTTGAGGCCCCCTTCTCACAATACCCACACCCATGGGCGTCCTTTCAGAAACAGGTGATGTTCCATTGGACCCACAAAAAGTTCAACACTTTTTCCAGAGGGTCAACACCAACCAAGTGTTTAAGCCCTCCTGCCCGCTTCCGTGAGTGTTGGGAGGGTTTGTTATAGGTGTGTATTTATGGTACTGGGGTGTCTTAGGGGAACAAAGGGACTCCCGTTGAGACCCTGCCTGGGCTCCAGACCTATTGCCTTTTTGGGCGATACTCGACGATCACTTGTCCAAAGCGAATCGACCTTTTGACCAAAATGTGATGGCCTTGCATTTCCAGAATGATACGCTGCAACTTGAGTTGGGGGGTTGGGTTCTGGGTTTGGGGTTTGTCCAGAGTCCAGGCCCCTTTTCACCTACTAGCTGGTCTCCAAAGCCGGGTAAAACCAGTCATATTCTGATTTTAGAGCCGCAGCAAGGGGAGCCATTGCAGTCGAAACAGGGAAGTGATTGATGGAAAAATGAGTTCCCTCATTTCTGGAACCCCCGCACTTGACGGTCTCCAAGCTGATACTTGAACAATGGGCGACTTGGAGGAGGACTACTTCCAGAAGGCTCAAGCATGTCTTCCACTTGCCGAAAGTAGTATTTATATGATTTTTATGTTCCCCGTTGGTATTGAAACAGATGTGTCACTGCTGGAAATATACTGTGTGTTTTTTGTTCCAGGGGCTTAAGCAAATGGAAGATGTTGGCAAAGGTGGGCTCCTAGAATGAGGACTGGTGGCTTCTTCGTGCCCTGCAGCACTTGGGCCTGTTTTTTTTTAGGGTTCCTTTTTTTTGTATTTGTTTTCAAAGGAATCCGAACGAGAGAAGACACTCCCACTTTGCACATTCTGGTGCACACTCGTCTATACCCTGGACTACAAGCCCCATCCCCGAGCCTTCCCCCGGCACGATGGCGCTGGCAAAGCACGGTGCCCAATTTTACTCAGAAGTACCTTATTGTTGGGCAGGTGTTCCCAGGGTCACAGTGCCTTCTCAGTTTTGTTGAGAAGACACGCTTGTTTGGGGGAGCCCGCTAAATCCAGAGGACGCCAGTGTGGATGCTCGTTTCCCCTGGCCACTTGAAGTCTGGGTCAATCATCAGTCGTTCCTGGGCCCTCAAAATGCCCTGAAACATCAAATGGGTTGAACTGCCTCGAAAATATGGCTAGTGAATTCCCTTTTGGTTTTGGGTAGTTGGAGGGCCCAGGACGTATTTGGAATCCCGGATCCACGATCCTTGTGCTCCTTACCGCTTCGAAACGCCGTGAGGTCCTCGAAGAACATCCGGCGTCAACAGCAGCTCGAGTCGCAGAAACGTGCGTGGGTTTTATCATGTGGCAACCAGTCCAGCACCTTCCAATGGTCCATTTGGGAGTTGCTTCTTGCTTGAGGGTACCTTTTTTGTTGTTGTTTTAAGGGCAAACCTAAGGGAACACCACCCCATTTTGGGTGTTTGAAGTCATTGGGTTTGGGAGCTCTCCTTGACAAGCCCATTGTACCTGAAGTGTTCAGCCTGTTGCTTCCCGGCTTTGATGCCTCGGAGGGCAAACAACAACACCGACCTTTGGGAGGGTACTCAGACAGACCACGAGCTAGCTTTTCCCCAGGGAGAAAAAAACACATGTGGTGTCTCTTTGGTTTTTGGATAAAACAACTCCCACAAACAAGGTATCGACTCACACAGATCCTATGGAAAGTCAGTTCGGGTGTTGGTCGCTGTTGAAATGATGGCCCACATACAGCGCGGCATTCTTTCGGCAGGAGGTCACATAATTTTGATGCGCGCTCATTTGCTTCCTTCCCGTGTCGGTTTTAAAGGGAATCCACTGTGGACGAGATCCTGCCCCACCTAAGAAATCCTGGAATTATGATTCTCCGGTAGATATCAACAAGCATGATTTCAGCCATGGTTTCAAAATGATGCGAACGGATTTTGTCCATGCACAGTATCACCTATGAACAAACCATTGTTTCCATACAAAAACCGCAAAAGGAGGTTTGGATTTGTCTCATTGACTCATGGAAAGACTGATGCGTGTTTATTTGGGTTTGTGGGTGTGTCCTAAAATAGGGGATGTCCCAACAAAAACAGGTTTGCCTTTGGTTGTCCTGAAAAAATGAGCCGCCAAAAGGATACCTGGACAGTACAAAATTCCCTTACACCTGGGTTCTTGCTTCAAACTTATGGCGTGAAGTCCCTTTTTATGGGGGCAGTTTGAGGGTCCAGGTTCCCTCAACAAAAAGAGGACCAGGGACATCTTCAAGATGATGGTGTAATTTTAAATGTTTTACGGGTAGCTTGAGGGTGCTACAGTGCTACCCTCAAAAAAGGAGGGTCCAGGTACCCTCAACCAAGAAAAACACCACGCACATTTCTGCTACCCCCAACAAAAGACGAGCCACCTACGTCTCCGGAGGGAACGAGCCGCCCACTTCACGTCTCCGGAGGAAAGAATCCGTTGGTTACGCGAGGACCACCCTGGGCTCCTTCCTGTGCTCCGCGCTGCGGGACGAGCTGGAGGCGGACTGCGTGGTCTTCGACGGCGGCAACATCCGAGGACGGTTTCGGCGGTTACCGGCGGAATGCTGTGGATTAGACGGAGGGAAACCTAACCAATTTGTGGTGGAGAAAATATGGTTTTAATGCCAATGGGCCGAGGGCGCTCATTCCCGTTTCGTTGGAATTTAGGCGAAGCAGTGCCAACATCAAGGGCATTGCATGCTTATACACTACCAATGCAAGTCTGTACCATTATATGGGTTTGTCTTTGTACCATGTTTTGGCGGTTTAAAGAGAAACCACAGAAAACCCACCATTTTGGAAGGGGGTCCCCAAAAACAACACACCTTCACCCTTCTATAAGTGGCAAAAAAAGAAACCTCCATATAAAACCCATCCCTGGAAAGTGCCTACGGTGAAATCGGGGTCCCGGGGCCCGCTCGGCGCTCGGGGCAGGAGATCGGGACTACGTGCCGCAGGCGGAGCACCACTTGGGCAAGCGCTGGGTCTTCACCCTCTCCGATCTGGAGCAGGAGCCTCGTGCACGAGACCGTTGAGATGATGTCGCGCCGTTTTGTTAGGGGATCTGGGCCTCGATGGGTGTGTACATCGTGTTTGAAAACCACCCTTTTATGTGGTGTTTTAAAGGGAACTAAGCGGAACACTACTTTTTTGTTTGTTCGGGGGGGGGGGGTCCGATAAAAGGCACACTTATGTAAAGGCCTAAATTAGTAGAACGGGACTCTGGATTACTCGTACTTCTAACAAAACAAGACCTTATTATAGGAGTAGACTGAGAGAAATCAATTAGCCCCTTATAATACCCTTTTTACAAAACCGCCCATGCTGATGGAGAAAACCGAAATAGCTCGATAAATACTGTGGATGGACTGCAACTGGGATAACTGGCCTGGCTTGATAACCATGGTTATGGTTTGACTAAATGGGCTGAGCAAAATACTGTGGATGGACGACCTCCCCAGTCAACGGGACCGATGAAACCTCATACCGGGGTTGGACCACCTACCAACTGGAAGCGGAGAATGTCCATCCGCAATATTGTTTAGTTTTCCTGAAGAAGGCCAAAGGGGGGTGGACTGATTTTCTCTTTTCCAGACTCCCCATTGATTGCACCCATTCCGTTGTCCCATTCAAAGGGTCTCTTGGTTGCATGTTCCGGGATCGCAGATTTGCTATTAACCTTTACAACCATTTTGGTCGAAGCTCGGTCCATCTCCCTCTTTTTGAACTACCAAAAATGGTAGTTTCAATGGACACCACCAGTAAATTGATCCACCTTTGATTCAGAAATCCAGTGACCGTTGTGATTGTTTGCTCGACCTTTTGACCTTTTGGTTTCCACTTGTTGGACTTGTTGGTTCATTGTTGGTCATGACCACAAAAGGCAAACCGCTTTTTTCCAGGCCTTTGGCCAAGTCTTGGGGTGATATTGAGCCTGCAGGAACTCCCCTGGTCCTCGGACATGGTCGTCATAGCACCAGGGCTAAGATTTCGAGTCGCGGAGGGGGGAGATAAGTTGGCACCTTAAGACTTTCTCACTTCCTGAGTTTCGTTTGAACTTCAGTCACTTTTTGGGGTTGGTTGTCATTTTAGATGTTTGGGGAGTTGGCAACCTTGACTTTCTAGGTGTGTCTTGTCTAAGGTTGTGCGCCCCAAAATGGCTTCGGTTCTCTGTTTTCCCTTTGGCTTCCTTTTAAGCCCATGACCAAAGGGTACCCTCATGAAAAGGGACATCCTTCTCACTCCCTGAGTTCCGTTCGGACTTTCGTCAGTTTTTGCGGTGTGGCAAGCCAACAGTTTGGACTTGTTTGGCCAATCAACACAGCCAGTGAGCTGTTGTTGGTAGGTCTGTTCATCAGTTTAGTACAGGCACACGTTTCTGCACGTCGCTTGGCACTGCCCATTGGCAGGCTCAAGTGACACAGCAAATCCAATCCAATCCAAAACGGGTTCAAACTGGTTTTGCCTAGTCAACTCAGCAGGTCAGAATGTTGGCCCAGGATGAATCAACCCTGGTGGGGATACCACCTGAGCTCATGTTTTCAGGTGGATCCCCCCAAAATTTCCCCGTTCAGCAAAGGAAACTCAGTGTGATAAGATTGATTCAGCATGAGCCTTGAATGGGCTCTCTTGGATTGGGGGTCGAAAAGTTGAAGAAGACCATTTGAACTGCAAAGAAAGAGTTTGGACTTGTATCAAGTCCACTGCAAGTTGTACCCCTGGCATCGAACTCTATAAACCATAGAGAGCAGAACTTCACAATTTTCTAGCGTTTCCTCCATTTCCATTTTCGGTTTTCTCCAAAACTGGCGATCGAATCAACGGACGCCACCAGTGATACATGTTTGATTTGGTTGGACATCCAGGGCCCCTGTGACTGTTTGTCTCATTCTCCTTTCGCGGCCCCAAAATGTTGAGCCAGCCTCGGAATCTGCAGGAACTCGCCTGGTCCTCAGACGTTCTCCCCCCGTCAAGGCGGGTCTTGGCTTCCCGGAGCTCGGGCTCCCCGTGCCTTCGCGAGCGCGAGCTCTCGAGCGAGCGAGGTGCTGAGTGGTGGCCAGCTGGCGGAGGCGATCAAAGTCAGCCGCACAGCGACGCGGCAAAAGCGGCGGGTTCTACATGGCTTCAGGCTGGTAGCAAAGGAACAACCAGAGAACCTTTTCGTGGCTCCCAGCCATCCGGTTCCTTAGCTTCTTAGCTTCTTAGCTTTTTAGTGTTTGGCGGGGTTTACATTTAGCCCACTAAAAGTTAAACCTTTAGCGGGGTACCTGAGGACAGCTCAGGTGTTTGTTTTGGGGGCATGTTAAGACAGGTTCTTTGTTGGCCAAGCGGGGCCCGTCCATTCGGAGAGCGACCTTGCGCATCGACCCGAGGAGAAACGGGGCACTGGGGGCTTTTTCCAGATGGACACTGGCGTCCGATGGGAAGCGGAGGTGGGACTGTCGGACGGGGAGGGCTGGAGATGTTTGCCATCTGGGTGCTAAAAAACATGGGTTGGTTGTACTGGGGACCAAAGTCAACAATATCTGATGTGTTCTTGGCTACATACCCTGTGCAACAAGACCTGCTGGCCCTCGTTGCATACCTTCGTTACACACCTCACATTAGCACAACCGCCTGGCTAGTTGCATGCCCCTACTGCCCCTAGTTGCATACCCCAGACTCTCAGTGATTTCCCATGGGTGTCTGCAGCTCAGACTTTCGCAGAGCATGCTGTCGCTGGACGTACCTGCGAAGAGTCAACCTGCGGAGAGCTTGCCATTCGGAAGAGAAGTTGGAACAAGCAGCAGGGATGGGCGGTGAGAAAGAATCCTGTTTCTGACATACCTCGGTGCATACCTTGTTGCATTGACTTTGCACACTTTGCTACAGACCCCGTACCCAATATAGTTGCGACCTTCAAGCTGGAGCTGCAGCGCATTGTTGCTCTGCGCGGCGTTGCACTACTCGTACTTGTCAACATTGTCAAGCACTTTTTTCCGATACACACGGACAAAAAACGAGGACCTCGATAGTTGGCATACACTGAGTCGCTGGGGGTTTCACAAGTTGCTTAGTCTCTCCAAAGGGAACCACAAGCAGCTGGATGTGTTTAGATTTTCCATTTGTTGGATGCCATTCAACGGGTATTCTACTGTCCTCTTGTGGATACATTCGTAATTGTCACTGTGGACAGACAAAAAAGACACAAACTCACATAGACAAAATCCGGACAGCCCGAAGCTGCCATTCAACAGGTCAAAGAGAATCTTCCACTTGCTTAAAAATATGATTTATTCCCCCCATTTGGTTGACAGGGGCACCTAGCACGTTTGCATTTTCCAGGGGACGAACAACACTCTCCGGCCAGGAAGTGACCCATATTGCCAACGAGCCCCTGGACAAGGCCCGCATGTATTGCCGCTCGGTGCAAAAGCAGCTTGTCAGCGACCTCTGTGGCTTCCTTCTTCCGGTGGGAGTGGGGGTCTGGTTTTTGGAGTGGGGAAGCAATGATGGTGGTGTTCCTTTTGGTTTCCTTTTCGAACAATGAACAAAAATGAAAAGGTACCCTAAAACACGGAGACGCCCTTCTCACTCCCTGAGCTCGAGTTTAATCACTTCGTTCCCCAAACCGGGTCCCCAGTTCCTTGGCGGTTTTTTGCGGGGAGCTTCGAACCCCTCAAAAACGAGAAGATTCCGAACCAGACTAGCCATTGTCACATTAGGTAGCGGTTTGTTGACGCCCTGAGATCCTGGACTTTACTGACTTTTGGGGTTTGGGCCACATTAGTGGAAGCCAAAAGGTTGGATTGGTTTTGGCCAGGCCGCTCAGGAAGAAGTGAGTTCTGGTTTTTGGTCTCCGGGAGTCTCCGGGAACTGTGAATCCATTTGTTGACTTTCTGGAGTTTGACCACAAAAACCAAATGAGTATTGCACTCATGGCTTGACCCAGCATGATGGAAACAAGCTGCAAGAAAGTCTGCGGGAAGTTTGCCAAACACTTTGGATATTATACATATATATATGTATATATATATATATATGCCGTGGTCAAATCGCCGTTTTTGTGGGTTTGTACGGTGGATTCTTAGTAGCAACGATTGTAAAGCTATCAAGTGCGGGAAACATGACCATGAATCCACTAAATACTGGAAACATGACACATGTAAACCTTCATGACTATCTTGGCAGGACCAAGAGTGCAATTTCGTGTGCGAAACTCGGCCACCTCCAAACATGGGTGGTTTCCCTTCACTCACTCCCTGAGTTCTTGGACTTTAGTCATTTTTGTTTAGCCAATCCACTCAGGAAGTGGGTTATGGTTTTCGTTTTCCCAGAAAAGCAAGGGTGGTTTTGCCTGATGGTGTCCTGTGAAAAGGGTAGCCTCAAACACAGACTATCGCTTTCCGTTACCCTCCAGACACGAACCCCAGGCGTTGGCCTCATGCATGCCAGCCTTGCCGGCATGAACGACAACCACGTCTTCAAGGCCGCTGGCTTGGCAAAAATCGTCGCTTATTCCTTGAACTTTAATCTTTTTGGGAAGACCATGTAAAGAGGTCTGGACTCATTTTGCCCAAGCCACTGGGGAAGTGAGTAGTATGGACGTTCTTGGAACTGATGAATCAAGGAACACATGCAGTACTTGATTCAGTGCCTTCTTTTGATGGTTTGCTTGTATGTTATTGCTTGGATTTCATTAGAATAGCTTAGATATTTACAATGACATGGTAGCAGACAACTACCCACATTTGCTCTCTAGCAACTGTTCCCGTTGCTTGCATCGCAAGAGACTCATGTGTGTGTGTAGACAGCAGCCCCCTAGAACTCATTGCTGGATCCCATATTATAGTGGTACCCAATTGCTTTCGCCGGGGAATCTTCAAGAAGAAACAAAGACAATGTGCGGCCACGCCTTTTCATGGTGCTTGGAGACACTGCTCAGAGGTCGCAGGCTGAGGATGCATGAGCCAAGTCAGGTATATATATATATATATACACCTGGATATGTGCAAACTTGTAAAATGTCCGCATTTTGAAAAAATGTGTTTTGGGTCTGGGAACAACAACTTTTGACTCCAGGGGTTTTTGGGGGACGATGACATTTTGCAAGGTCAAGCTGGTCGACTGATTTGTACCAACGGCGTTTTTCGCCGATCAAACGATGTTTTTGCAAGTCAAACGGCGTTTTTGGCCGTTCACAGCAGTCACGAATTGCTCCAACGGCTCTTTTGGCGGACCAAACACGTTTTTTGTTGCGGCGAGGATGAACATGAGTGCCATTTCAAGCGGCAGACATTCTTTTGCTCCCCTGGGCTTCCCAGGTGATTCGGATTGATGTCCTCCAGGATGGCTTGTTGTACTTATGGACAGAAAACAAAAAGGATTGATTTCCTCCGGGTGGATCATGGCTTGTTGTACTTATTCAATTCCATGTATCAGGTACCTCGGAAGATTGGTGGATTGGTGGCTAGGCTTGAGCCAATTCTGTTTGGCAAGCACTCGTAACTTCCAAGCGCCGAATGGGTATGGGTCAAAGTTTAACCAGGATATGGACTGCAGGTTTTAGTCCTTTCTATTGACCAGGGCACACCATTTTGGGATTACCCTATTATTGAACCACACTCAAATAGGAGTAGAGTGAATGTAGAACTGGCGACGTCGCATTGTTTGTTGTTTTGTTTTGGTGTGGGGGGGTGATGTCACCCATGAAGGTTTGCGTCATAGGGGGTCCCCTATTTTGTTGCATAACTTGCCCAGATGTTGAGAAGGAAACCTACATGAATCCATATTCAAACGGAAACCAAAAGGAAACCAACCAAAAACACCAAGAAGTTCAGATTCCCGCTTGAGCTAAGCCACTTAAGTTAAGTCTTCTACGGGACTCTGCCCTTGGCCCAAAGCTTCAGAGAGACATAGATGGATCCATAAAGTGGTTTCAGTTCCACTCAGCCTGCTGATTTCCTGGGGAAATTCAATTTGTGATTCCTGCGGGGACTTTCAATTTGGAGCTTCATCTCCCCGAAAAAGCTCTTGATTTCGACACTTAAGCCCCTGTCATTATGCGCAGGAGTGGAGGCAGGACCACATCATGCCGAAGGAGCCGGGGAGCGATGCTATCGGATTTGCTAAAGCTGCTAAACCCAACGTGTGCTTACTCTCCCAAAGGGGTTCCATGGCAGATCCCAGAATCTTAAATGGCCACTGGCAATGGAACTATCTCTTCCAAAGAGTTGGGAACATCCATGTTCTTGTTTCAGACCGCACATGTCCTTGATGTGTACAGTTTACTGATGTTTGTTTGACATGTACAATAGTTTTCAGCGTGTCATAGCGCCGGCTCGCGTTGTTGTGCTATCACACACACACATGCAAATGAATCATCATCATCATCATCATCATCATCATCATCATCATCACCATCGTCATCGTCATCGTCATCATCATCATCATCATCATCATCATCACCATCGTCATCGTCATCGTCATCATCATCATCATCACCATCATCATCACCATCATCACCATCATCATCATCATCATCATCATCATCATCATCATCATCATCATCACTGTCATCGTCATCGTCATCGTCATCGTCGTCATCATCATCGTCATCATCATCATCTTCATCATCATCATCATCATCATCATCATCATGTCACACATGTCGCAGTCCCAGGATGAATGAATTGCAACCAAGCATCAGCACCCCGTGTGAGCTGTTAGTGCAAGAAAGGGGAACTGACCACATTACACGTTCGCGCGTTGCTCCCGGCAGGATGCTTTGTTGGTTTCCGTGCATGCAAGTCTTCGCTGCAACAAGACGTATATTGCGCGAATGCACATCAAGTAGTGAAAGGAGTAGCAGGGACTGGTGTGCAGCCCAGAACATGGATAGGCTGGGCACTGCGATACTGGCAAGAATTCACGGTCTGCGTGGTACTCGGAAAGCCAAACACGGAATCATGTGCTGGTAATACAGTTGGGTGAATGTAGATGGCACCCCCCGTGTGGCCCTTGTTGGTTTCGTTTATCCCCTGTACTTTCCCACGCAATGGGAGTTCATCTACTTTTACCTTGATGTAAGTTCGGCATGGCTTAAGCACTGGGAGTCATGTGAGCTCGGCTTTCTTTTTGTTTGAAGCAAGGTCAGGGTTCTATCAACGAGAACAAAGGACAGCACGATTTCTGGAAACACGATTTATGCTGACATCAGATTCAACCTGACGGACCTTTCTGGGGGGGGGTGCCCAGAAGAGCTGTCAATATGTAATACCCGCTGTGGACACCGCCTAAGACCCCTGGAATGATGATGCTCCCGCAAATGTCAACAAACACTGGTTTTAACCATGGTTTCTTAGGTAGATCCGCAGTAGGTGTCTTTTTGGGAAAACTTGACGGCCCTAGATGTTTCAACCCGGAAAAAGCAGGCTCGCAATTTGAACAACCAAGCCAAAGAGGACACCAATGGGACACAACATGTTGACAGTTTAGTGTTGGCTTCCCTTTTGCTCCCAAAGGTGCGGGTGAACAGTCCCCCCGAAAAAGGGTTGGTGTTGAACTTTGGGTTTCTCTTTGGGAGTTTTGAGCATAGCACACATGGTTTCAGGAGGATGCAGGCAAACCTGCCAAAGAACTCCTGAAGAAGCAGTTCGCGCGGCGGATGTGGGCCGCTCGGACTCACTGTGCCTGCAAGAATATCAGGGGAGGGTCCATTGAATAGTACGGTTTGTCTTTGTGTCGTTGGCAATGTACCTTCCGAATTGACCATAGACAGAGGATGGGCTAATCACAGTTCATATGCCGGACATACTGTGGATGCACCAGTCGCTAGGTGGTTCGTTACCCATTATTTTCAGGGTTTTATTTATCCCAAGTGGTGCGGGATTTCGTCCACCCAGAGTATCATGGCTTGTCTTTGGTGTGAGCGAATCGCCCCTTAGACCTCTTGCATGCGAATTACATTCTCACTAATTCAGACCTAAAGGTGAACGATGTTTTTTCATGGCGGCGTGTGGTGGTTTCGTGAGGCAGGTGTCCCACCTGCTCAGCGTCCTTCAAACTGGTGGTTTGGAGCGGTTTGATGCTGCTCCAGGAGGTTTCCAATTTTTAATTCAAGAACCAGGGAACACCAATCCAACCACCAACTACGGGTTTCCTGGATTTCGCTCTCTGAGGTTTGCCTCAGTTGCCAAAAGATTGACACACCCCACTATTCTGGGTCTTGGTCAAAAGACCGGTTCCTTTTCTTGGGGTTAACAGGGATGGTCATTCAACTCGCCGAGGATTCTTAAAGAGCCCATTACTTGACTGCTATTGGGTTGGATCTTTAGACTTTAACTTTCTGGGAAATCAAGGGGGTTTTCCACTAAACCCCAAAACAGTTAAACTTTTGGCAGGGGGGTCAACAGCAACCAAGAGTATAACTGACTAAGGATTCCTTTGAAGAGAACCATGACCATAGGCCAAACAAACGGAGTTTTGAACATGGCTCATCCAGGTCAACGTTTGGGAAAATCAGAGACATCTTTGCCCTTCACTACAATAATGAACAAAAGACATACGTAGTTGAGTCCTAGGTTTGGGGTTGAAAACTGACAAAAACATGGCTGCCTTGCAGCTTAACATGGACCCAAGAACCCACCGTGTTGCAATATCCTTGTCGAGGACCCCTTTAGTGGCCATGTATAAACCTGGCGTGTAGCCTGTACAAATCCTGTACAACTCAATCACTACTCTTCGTGTATTGAAGCATGTTGTGTGAGCGGTCCATTCTCCAGGGACCCAAAGGAAGGCGGGTTCCAACTTTGGGAGCTTTGGGGTATACAAGATGTCCATGGGTGGACAGGTGGGTAGCTTGGTTCCTTTCACAACTCTTGTAGGTTCTAAAGTACTGGGTGGACGAAATCCACAAAACGCACCACTTGGATAGATGAAGACCTATCAACAATCGGGTAAACCACCAATCCCAACTGGTGCAGGATAGAAAGTAATAAGGAAACCAACAGCACCACGTTTTGTGGGGTCCTTTTCTTGACACATGCCCAAATATGGGTAGCCCCGATTATTTCAGGTCACACGGTCGCCTGAATCCTCGCAGCCCAGGAGAATGAGATGCCGGAGTTTCATGAGATCAACGTGTCTCGGAGCGGCGTGCTCTCCAGAGAGGAGCCGATGTTCGCTGACCTTGTTGGTCGGGTTGTTCCCAGACTAAGAATCATCTTGACCCCGGATTGAAAAATAACCGTCCTATGACTGTAATAAGGGGGATATATCATCACTACAAGGGGACAGCCCTATGAATCAGCCAGGGGTTAATTCATCCGAGGTCCACAATATTTGATTTTAGGGTTGACAAAATATGGAACACTGTTTGGAAGCCGCTTTGTTCTGTGGACAAATGGATGGAGCAAACATTGGTTAGAAGCTGCGGCCAAAAGCACACGCTTGCTTTCCTGAGATCTTTTACCCGCGTTGCTGGACATGGGATTGGCCCTTCTGTTGCTTTCCCGACAAGTGAACAGGCCAACAGGCGTTGCCGAAAAAGCACTGAAATGATTCCAGAGCTGGCATTGACCCGCAACACCATATATACATATATATATACATATATAGATATATAGCATCCCGGAATCGAGCTCCTGCCGTTGTCTGACAATCAGGGACATTTTTCTGACTGCTAGGACCCGAAGAACGCCTGCGTTGAAGCAGATGAGTAGGTAACCAACCATTTTCCATTTGGTTTTCAAAGGGTGGTTCGGTTGGTTTCCTACTATACAGGTGAATGGACCCACTGAGTATGTTTCATTTCAAGGTTTGTCAAATATGGGCCAAAGTGAAGAAGGCACCAAGTTTGGTGGCAATAGCTGCAGTTGTAACCGTGGTCATACTCACTTCCGCACGGCCGACCTTTTGACCTTTTAGTTTTCCCTGTTTGTCCATTTTAGGCATGGCCCCAAGGCAATTCTAGGGCAAAATACTGTGTTTCCTTTGCTTTGCATGAAAACCAGCCCAACAAGGGTTCCTGAAAAACAAACAGCCACACAAACAAACAAACAATCAATCAAAGAAACAAACACACAAACACACACCTCCACATCCAAGTTGCCAGGAGATCAAGCAAGCTTACCGCAAGCACTTTCCGGACTGCCCGGAGGCTCCTTGGACGATTCGCAGATTCTGAGCTGGATCGAGGGCCCAAAACGCGGATCGAGGGCCATGTTAGGTGGGGTTATAGCAGACGCTAAATGCAAGTTTAAGCCATATGCTGGCAGAACCAACAGTCATTTCGTTTTGGTCGCTGCTCATTTGCGTGCCAATTTTGAACGAGCTTATTTGGGAGTAAAACGAGTTCACCCATGAAGGTCCTATTGAGAATCCCTTATGTGACTTACAGCAATTTGCCTAGGATTCCGGGATCACGTCTTCGTACTAAACAAATGTTGGTCCCTTTTTGTGGTATTGGCCTCATCCGTAACGGTTGACCAGCATGTGCCCGAGTTCACTAGTTGGTCCTTGTTCAGTTTCTTTGTCGCAACCTATGCTTCCTCCCACTAACATAGCCCTTGCGAGACGCTACCTGGCATATAGTTTTCGTTCTTAATGGACTCAGGCACCATGGCAACGTGAAAGGGAGGGGGCTTTTGTTTTTGTTGTTTTTTCTCCCGCCACGCTGGCCTTTCGAGCGTTTGAAGCTGAGTGGGCCCGTGTTGCAGCAGTCCGTGCCAATTACGCAAAGAGGGAATGTGCAAATGACCCGATTTGCAGGGATCTTGGCTGGAAAGTTTGGCAGGTTCCCATACTGTTGACCCCAGATTACTCAACTGTTTATTCATATGGGGGTGTCCCTGGGTTTTCCGGGGGTTCAATCCACTTTTTTTGTGGGGCAACACCCCCATATTAATAGACCAGGGGTCATTAATCCGGGCTAGTGAAGACGTGAGCCCCCAGAGACTCAATTGAAAATTGAATCAACTGATACTGACCCAACTCACAGGTAGACGAGGGGCAAGAAACCGCTTAATAAGGCTCAACTCTTTGCAAATTGGACCAAGCCATCCCTAAGCAGTGCTCAACCGCAGCACCCTACCCCCCGCCCCCCGGTGGATTTCCCATGAGGAAGCAAGATGCACTCCATCCAAAGTGGGAAGAAACGATTCGGTTGCCATCCAGAAACCACAAAAACAACACGGCATTTCTTCTGCAAACTTGGATCCTATGTCTCACTGTTTGAGTTCATGAACTTTAAGCTTTTTTGGGAAGACCATTTTAGTGGTAAACAAACAGTTCAGACTCTTTAAATGGCCAATCCACTCAGGAAGTGAGATCTCCAGTCACTCATATCATTGATGTTTAGATCATAGGTCCCTGCCCTGCGCAAGCCTTTGTTTGGGTTTCCCGTGCACGGCAGGGTTTGCCGGAAATTCTGCACCTAAGGACTAGCAGAGTATGTGTCAACATGACTTGAAAAGGGTGCCATCACAGAGACACCAAGAGACGAATATAATCTGAGTTCAAGCAGTTCAAGGAATATAAACACATTTCAGAAGTGATCCAGGCGTTGTTTTCGGGCATCGTGGGAACTACGTAATGTTAAGGTCCCTTCCTGTGCGAAGGGAATCTTCTAAGTGATACAGTTGTCATGGGATGGGAATCCCACCTTGGTATCACAGATCCTTGGTCAAAACATGTGGTGGATGCAACCAACCTGTTGCAAGGGAACAAAGGGAGCAAAGGACAGACGAGCATTCGCTGTATTGGTTGCGAATGCCAGGGTCCTGGCCCGGACAACAAAAAACAAAGAACGTCGTCTCGTGCCGACCCCCGAGTTGCTTGTTGCCCTTAGGGTTTCAGAAATAGGTGCCCCTTTTTGTGTTAGTTTGATTGAACATGGCGGACCCGTTGAAACGTATGGTTGAAACATTTGCCATCGAGGTTGTCCCAAAAGGACACCAACTCACTTCCTGAGTTCATGGACTTGAGTCACTTTTTGGGTTTGGACCATTTTAGTGGCAAGCACAAAGTTTGGTTACTTTTTGTTTAGGCCATCCACTGCTAAAGTGAGCCTATGGTTGTCATGTTGACTCGGGGTTAGGAGAGGGGGGGGAGGGAGTAAGGCCTTAGGGCTCATTTGGGCTCCCTCCCCCCAGCCTCCAAGAGGTTCCAAGGTTTCATTCGATCCCGGGGCGAAACTCCATTCTCAGCCCACTTTCCCCGTGTTTTTTTCTTGAAACCCACCCAACGCCCGTAAGACAATCCAACCCCACGCCCCCCCGGAAACAAACAGCGAGACCACGGGCTCTCGTGCAGGGTGCCCTGGAGCCCTCAGTGGACAACCTCCTCACGGTGGCGGAGCCCGCCGGGCGACCCAAACCCCGACCTTCTCGTCGGAGATCGAGTCGTGGGGCTGGGGTTGGCCGAACGGGGGATGGACGTTCGCCCGTGTTCACGGTTCGAGATACTTGGCGGCTCTAAAGTATTAGGAACTGTGGAACTGTGGCGCATCACGCTCACAAACGGCCTCAAAAGTGAAGGCGAGTCTTTCAAGCAAAGGCTTGAGAAGTATTCCAGTTTCGCGCATACGGGGTTTGGCGGTAGCTCAGATGCCAAAAGGTGTCCCTGGCTTTGACATATAGTGGATTCACGACATTCTGCACCACTTTGAAACCATGGGACACCATTGTTTGTGGGTATTTACAGGGAAATCAGCGTTCCAGGGATTCTTGGGTGGTGCAAGATTTCGCCCATTCGCGGTTCGCGACCAGCCAGCTGTGTTGCGTTTTCCTTGTTGATTTCCCTCGCCAACCGTCCTCACTAGGGCGCTGAGTTTGTACACACAGTCATTTGTTTGCAATGCGACACGCCAGTTTCACCATCGGTTTTGAAAACTGGACATGGGAGTTCTGACAATGGCGGACCCCCGTTTGGTTACCTGGTTGGTATTCAACGGGAAACACAGAGAAGCCAATGATGTCGAGGACCATAGCTTGAGAAACCCGCATGATGCGTCGGAACTCGTAGATGCGGCCTTTGATTAAGCTGAAGGACTTGCACAAAAACCCAGATGCACGAGGCGCTCATCCAAGGAGGTGGCCCTGTGACTGGCGGAATCCCATCGGGCAGTTGGCTCTAGGGCCCGGATGTCCAGGGGCCTCTCAGGGCAGCTAGTGCTTGAATCTGGAAGCCGAAGGAGCACAGAAACTGGAGACATGCTATTTATCTGTGGGACCAGTTTTTTTTTTTCCGGCGGACTCACGCCCTTGAGCAGTGCAACGCCTTGGAGGAAAGAAAAACTTTCATACATGTTGATTCCCTATAAAAGAAATAAATAATAAAATACGGTTGTTTCTCTATTGCAAGCAAACCAGCCACAAGCGAAGGATTGCGGCTTCCTCATGCCACGAGCGGACAGCGGACTCACTGGAGATCCCAAGACTCCGCCAGCTTCGAGAAGGGAGTTGGGCAAGTTGAAACCGCGATGGGTGGCAGCAATCCGGGAAAACAACGAGCTCACCGATGGCTCCTTGGGGGCTTTTTTATTTCCAGCTTGTAGCTCAAGAGAGGTTTGTCCAGAGTGGAGTCTTGCAACAGCCATTTGTAGTCTAGAAGAGGCTTCATCTACAGGTGAAAGTAGATGGCCTCACTTCCTGAGTTCGTGGACTTTGGTCACTTTTTGGGTTTGGACCATTTTAGTGGACAAGAAAACCATGGACTTGTTTTGCGAGTCCACTCAGGAAGTAAGACAAACGAGTTAATGCAAATCCATTTCGCACCACCGTTCAGAAACCCTGGCTTCTGAACATTCTCCTGTAAATACCGACAAACAGTGGTTTCAACCATGTTTGTTTAGTCCGCCCTAAATCACCCACATCGACCAATGCTGGGAGTTTCTCAGTTGTTGACCCCTCTCCTTGTGGCTTCCCCTTAAAACCATATCAGGGGGGCACAATTTTCAGAACCCCCCCCCAAAGAACCTTTACAACCATGTTAGAACCAAAAGTCAGCTTGGGTGACAAGGAAGATCCCCAACCCCTTAAACATGGAATTGGCGGAGAGGGGTGACTCCTGGCATTCCATTAGTGGTTCCATTTGGCTGTGGGTCAAAAATAGGTACCCAAAATGGAACCCTGGTATATTGAAACATGGACTAAAACCTGCGGTCCCCTGGTGGTTGAATTTTAACCCATGCCCATTTTCCTCTAGGGGAAGAATAGATCAATGGAATCAACGGAGTTAATTTTTGTTCCACCTGAGGAGGACAATGGTGATGTTTCGCCATCCAGCTACGAGGCCATTTTCAGGCACGGACCGGTTCGGGAACTGCCTAGTTTCAGGTGCCCCTCTAATTGGTGGTTTGAATTGGTGCTTTAGATTTGGATTTTGTTCCCTGCTTCTTGTTGAGGGTAAGTTGGAAACCAGCCCTAATCACCACCAATCCAGACCACCAGTTAGAGGAAATCTGGTATTTGATCTGGGATCAAAGGCAATCCGCGAAAGATCCTGACCATGAGATCTTAAAGGATTTGTTCCCCGCTGGATTGCGGCTTCCCAAAATCGGGATGGATAATCGGATTGGAATTCCAACTAGCAGGTTGTGTTCTCTGTAAAAAAGGTTGCGCCGAACTTCAAATGGCCATCGATTTGACTGAGGAATACTCTGAACATAATGTCCCATGTGAATATCGAACCAAACCAACAGCAAATTAGATTGATCCAGTGACCAAACTGAATAGGACAGGCATTTGTGTTTGTGTTAGTTTTTCTTTCGCAGGGGCCAGTGCTCCACCCTTCCAGGGGGTTTGAGCGACTCTCTTTAAACAAACTCGTGTCACTCGTGTCTGAAATTGTTTGTGCTTCTTTGGGTTTTCCTTAAGCAGTATTCCCAAGGGGTCCACATTTAAATTGCCTTGTCTACGTTCTTCACGGTCGCTCGGTGTCATATGCTGTTGTCTTTGGTTGATGAGCTTCTGTTAAACCTGTTTTTGCAATTGTCACATTGACATGTTACCACTGGTTTAATGCAAACCTCATTTATTTCTGCTGACTTGTGACCATTGTTGCACTTCAATGCTGAGAAGGTTATTTTGCTGTTTTTTTGTCCTGGTTTTGACACTTCAACTTGAAGTGGTATGACTCACCTTGGATTTCACCCGGGCACATCTACTGGGCTTAGAGGTTAACGATGTTAACGTTCTGTACACCCCGCTGTGCTGGTAATAACCGGGTACATTCACCAAGGACTGTGAACTGAATCAACAAGGGCAGGCGGGGAGGGGCTAGTTCAGTTGTGATGTCTAAGTTCTCTTCTATCATGTTCCCATTGACCAGAACAAACACTTTCCCGAAAGCTGACCACCTACATTCGATCAGTATTAAATCCGGTATTGTCATGAGAGCTTTCAGGGGAGTACATGCTGCAAACGCTTGGGTGTGGTGTATGTTTGTTTTTTGGGCCAACATCCAAATGGGTTTGCGTCCAACCCACCCATTTCTACAGGAAACTCCGTTTGGGAACCGGGCCGCCTTGGGGCTCGATCTGTTATTTGTAGATCATCCAGCAAACTATAGTTCCCAGTATCCACCCAAAGTAGGCATTTGCAGGACTGCTTGCTGATGTCAAAACCATCCAGTGAGCTATGTGCCAGGCTCAGCTCTGCGCATCCATACCTGTCTGATAGCTCTGAGCCGAGTATTGAGGCACGCGCGGCACCAAAAACCAGCAACCAAAGACCCCCCGGCCTGGCAGTCAGGCTGCCGACCTGGGTGGCGCTCAGCTACTTCAGCAAGGAGCAGGCGACTGCTTCGATGGCCTGGGGGTTTCCCGTGAGCCATCCAAACCTGGCTAGGGTGAAAACTGAAGCCCAACCATAAATGGGTGCCGCCTCGTGGTTTCTTTACATTCTGGGATGTTCTGGGTAGGACCATGTCAGTACCAGGTTTTGATTATGACTCGCGTGAGAAATAAGAAGCAGTTGAAGCATAGTGAAGCGCTAGGGAAAGCCATGGCCGTGGTTTTAGGTGTGTCTCAAAATTAGTTGAGCCCACTGGCTGAACACTTTTGGTTGGGAAAGGAACCAAAAAAGTTCTCCCCCTTGACACACCCGGTTTTGCCAGGTGTTCCTTCCTTTGCCTTTTCGTTGGTGTTCGATCCTAGGATTTTGGCTGCTTGGTGGGGTCTTGACGTATTCACTCTTTGAGAAAACAAGTGTGTTCCCACTCACTCAAGTCTTTGACATGTGTACCGCTTCGTTTCGACAACTTCCACACGGCTTCATTCAGCCAAGGTTTTCCTTTCAACGATCAAGGTAATGCGTGTTTGTTGAGAAGGGACACCAAAGGTCAACATCTTGAGTGGCCATCTTTGTACTGGACAGAATCCACGACGAATCGATCGGCAGCTGGTACTGGGGTTTCGTGCATAATTGGTAGGGGGTCCATCCCATTTGGTGGATTGTCTTAACTGGTGCCAGGCATGGATTTTGTGCATCCACAGGGAAAGCCGCTTTTTTGGGCCCTCTCTATGTGCAAGATCAAACTTTGGTATTCACAAACTCAGATTGATGTGTGGCAGTTCTTGCACGAGGGAGTTCCACAATGGTCGGTTGTTCCTTTAAACGCCGTCGAAAGGGCTCCCTAAGCTGAATTCATTATCCCCTCCAGGGGTATGAACATGCAGCAGGCGCTGTGCGGACTGAAGCTAGAATTTTATTTGAGCCGTCGCGTTTGGCTCACGCGTGTCCAGCCTAGCAGTAACATGAGCGTGTATTGACCAACGACCAGGGGGTTTGCAAGCCACGGCTGACAGAAAACAATGTCCAATCCAGCAAGCCCTCTTTGAATGATTGGCTTCATGGTGGTTTCCGTGTGTGGACAAAGCAAGTCTCTATTTTGGGAATTCTTAATGACTGTCCCGCGAGAAAGTTTTCCCGAGCTGGCCCAACTACAACACACTCAATACTAGGTGTTGGGACTACTAAGAACGAGATATACCTCCGCAAAGAGGTCATTTGGACATGCTAGCACATTGCTGAAGTGTTTCTTCTATCGCTCGTGGGCCCTGTAGTTGTTGCAGGCAACAGCACCCATGGGAAAACAAGCACGCCCATCCATTCTACTGGTAGGCAAGGTTGTTTTGCTTAGAGTGCTTGAATGGAAGAATGTATGTTCCTGCCAAAGCCCAAACATAAGGCACCGATCATAAACCCAAGAATAGAGCTCCCTTCCCTTTTGGCGGAATGCACACTGACTGTGCTACCAAAAAGGCAGGCCAAAAAGGGAAAGGTGTCAATCTCAGGAGGGGAAGGTCCTCATAAGCGGATCCTTTGCGGGTAGCAACCCTGAAAACAAGCTCTTAAGCTCGCCTAGCCTCATATGCGTGGCTGAGCCATGGACAGCTGCTTGGCCGATGAGGAAGGAAAGCTGAGTTCAGGTGATTGATCCAAACGCGATGACTTTCTCAGCTTCAACTTGTCTTTGGTGCATTTTGCTTGGATGTTAGGACTTGAACTCTTGGCCAACTAATGGGTTTTCCATTAAACCACTAAAAGTTAAACTTTTAGCAGGAGAGCAGAAAGCAGCCGAGTTGTTCACATTGCTTGTTGCCAGGTGGTGTCATCATTTTAGTCTATGGCTAAAACAACTGAACCGTTTGTGGCCAGTTAGCTCTAGCAGGTAAATCAACAAAGCCTTGAGGTGTTGTTTTCTTGCAGACGAAGTGTTCCAAAGCTTATGGATTCTAGACACTGGGATGTGAGTCCTTCACTCCAAAGCTAAGCACGTGGCCCACGATTTGATGCGTGCTCGGCTATACATGCCGACTCTGAGTTGCAGTACATGGGTGAGTCTTTTTTGACGGTACCCCCTTTTTTGTGTTCTAGACGGAAAACCCTACAGGAAAACCACATTTGTTTGGCCCTAAAAAAGGACACTCCCAAATGTTCATGGTGCGCCTCTGACATGAGCTTTTGAACTGCCACCCTCATATTGGTATTTAGTGGTGAGTGGGACGCGGCAGAAGAAATGGTGCCCGTTGGTCGCATGGGTTTGCTGACCACGCCTTTTTGGATATCCCAAAAGCAAAACAGGCACTCAACCTGCGAGAGGTATCCAATCGTAAGGAAGAACAATGTCATTACCACAGGTGTCTCTTTTTAGGCTAGTTTGGATATAAATAGATGACACTGGTCTAGATTGGTTTTATGCCAGTTTCGCGTGCCATCGATTTGTCCAAATGGTCGCTGATGGTCATGACTTCATTGTCCCTTCAACATGCCCTGTCGCGTCATGGCCTGGTTTGATTTTAAGTTTCTTTATTGGGCGATGTTCAACAGGGTGGAGCATGTGGGGTTGACCTGTATTCCTGGCTCCCAATGACCAAGGGTAACTTTCCCATGTGGTACTGTGGATGGACGGAATCCTGCACCACCTAAGAAACCTGGTTTCTGATGATCTCCCTGTAAATACCAACAAGCGTTGTGGTTTCCGCGTGGCTTCAACTTCAAAGTGGTGCGAAATGGATTCGTCCATCCACACTGGTCATCTCTTTGGTGGTTTCTCACTCTGGTCATCCCATGATTACCGGACCTTTTGATCAACTCCCATGTAAGGACTTGAGCATTTTTCAAACGCAAGAGAGGGGTTGGCTACATCCACCGCAGCCTTAGGTCAGCTTGGTTCTAAGGATGTTAAGGCTGGGTTTGCTCATATACACATACACTGTGAATAATTGCGAGGGTTTTGGCAATTTCTCAGCGCCATCTAGCATTGCAACTCATGAGCCCGCCCCAACGAGAGATCCAATTCTGTACAATGAGCTCACATATTTTTGGGGAAAAGCCACTCATGAAGGTACGTGACCTGGGGTATATTTGTTGGAAGAAATCATGGTCATCTCTGGGAGAAGTGGGATTATCCCCCTCATGACCATGCTTGTACCCTAAAACGTAGGACCTACTGGCTGAGTGGCTTCTCGGTAGATCCGTGAAAGCGAACGGTATGATTTAAGGGTGTCATTATTTCGGGACCCCCGCAAACAACAGTGTTGTTAGTTCTTTTGGAGAGGTGTACCCTCAAAACGACCCTCCCCCCAACCAAAAAACCAAAGCAAGAAGAAGAAGAGCAAGTTGTGGTGTTTCTTTTGGTGTTCCTCTAAAGCCACCACAAAAACAAGGTGTTCATACCCTCAAAAAAGACGAGCCACCCATTGGTCTGCAAAGGCCGCCTGATCAGGCGGGATGTTGGGCCAATGTCTCGGCGTCTTCGCCCTGAGCCTATACAGCTTCCGCTTCCTTCATGACATCGGCAGCTCGCAACGGGTCAGGCGGAACTAGGTCCCCCATGGTGCCCTTTTACCGTTTCGTTTTTGGGGGAGATTCGGTTCCCCTACTAAAATAGACTACAGACAAATAGGTACATTTGTTCTAACCTCTCTACTGGAGGACCTAGTGAAGGTCATGTTGGGTGAAACAAATGGGGCGCAGGGTTGTGGGATCACTCGGGGTTTATCCCCACTGTGATACAAGGGAATCTCCGCCCTTACATGGGTTGGTCTTTGGGAAGCGCTTTTTGTTGCATCATAGACGTGGTCATCTCCCACAGCCCTGAATGGGTGTGTGTTTTTTTGAGCGTTCCCCTTTTAGGTTGTTTGAAAGGAAACTAAAGAACACAATTTTGGGGGTCCCCCCAAAAAAGACACACCCAAATAGGTTCTACTCGTTTGCCATTGCCATCTTAATACTTTCCGAGGACACCTAGGGTCTCCTGGAAGGGCCTTCTGCCTGTGGCTGAATCAGTTGTTCTTTTTCGATTGGATAAGTACTGTGGAGGGTTGCGAAATCCATTTCGCACACCTCTTAAGGAACCTTGGTGTCCGATGATTGTCTTGTAAATACCAAACACTGGCGTTCCATGTTTTCAAAGTGCATTTCGTCCAGCCACAGTATTGGATGTTCCATTGAACCACCTTTGTGAAACAACTAAGCTGCTTTGGTCCCCTTCTGGGGCTTCCTCCAAAGCTCGTTAATATCTTTTTGGCAGACTGCATATGGCATTGTGAAACAGAATCAGAACATATTGTTCGTGCATCCCGGATCTGGGTCAAATAGGCGACCAGGATTTGTTTACCTCAAGCGATGTTCTTTGAACGAAACCTCCTTTTGGTTTCCCTTGCTCCCGAACTTGGTGGTTCGGGGGTTCCTTGCAATTTGGCTTCCCTTTCAAGCTACCTGGTGAAGGGTGGGGTCCTTGAAACAACTTGGGTATGGGTCAAGATCAACAGGGGACCGCAGGCTTTGGTCCTTGATCTCCATGTTGGTAATTTCTTTTCACCCGCGCCCAACTGTTGCCCCCTCGGGGTCGCCTCCTTGATGCTTCTGGTCACAGCGACACCCGGGATCACCACCTGAGGTCTAGGGCTTGGGGATTTGCGGGTGCTTTGGGGTGGAATCTCAGATCTGACCCGAGGATCCATTCGAGCGTAGCAGGAAGTTGCTGCACAACATCTGTTTTAACGCAAAGGTACTCCGACGAAAACGTGGGATCTTCGGACCATTTCTTTGAATCCAACACTGGGGTGTGCCATGGGAAGGTTTTGAGTCCATGATGGCCCCTGGTGGTTGTATGGAAGGTCACCATTGGGCTGCCAATGGCTTCCTTTGCTACGGCTTTGAACATAATATGATCTGCCTATTCTATTGCGAGCTCAACTGTAATGCGAGCTTGCCATGCTGAAGGTCCTTGACTTGGTCCCTTATTTCAGGCCATAAGGGGTTTAGACTGCCAATGTAGGGGTTGGACTTAAGGGAACTACTGTGGGTGGACGAAATCCTGCACCGCTTAAATCAACGAGTTAAACAAGGGTGTAGAAGGACCCCCCGCTCCCTCCCCATATTCAATGTTGCTTTGATGGGCTGTAAAGGTGGTGCAGGATTTCGTCCATTCAACTTCTTTTCCTTCTGCGTGTTTTCAGCTCCCAATATTAAAAAGGGAGCGCGAGGGCGTGCAACCCAATGCTGAGATGGTGGTGCAGGATTCTGTCCACCCACCGTATGACTATATTTAGACCACGCTTGGAGATGTGACCATGGCCCGTGTGATGAAACCTGGACCTTAAGGTCTCTATCGCTGTATCCTCTCTTGGCAGTTCACCATCTGGTCGCTGCACGTGGCGCCGGTGGTGTCTTTGCGACTTCTAGGAGTTGTCTTGAAATTTAACGGAGACGCGGGTTCATAAATCTCCCCTGGTTGATTAGTAGACAAGGGTGTGTCGTGTTTTAGGATACCCCTTTTTTGGTGGTTTTGAAGGGGAACCAACAGGAACATCATTTGGGGGTCCACAAAAAAAGAGACACGCCCATAAAGTGTCCCAATTGAAAGTGAAGGCTTTGCTGTTGGCAGCGATTTCGACACAGTTCGAGTTATTTGACTTGGGTGTAAAGCCTCTTTAGGTTTAACCGTGATAGGCTGCTAACCCAGGCAATCCCAGTTCTAACCATGGTTATACTGTATAACTACTTGCTAATTCTTGAAGTGGGTAGGTTTATCCTAAGTTGAATTTGAGGGACCCCCCAAACCAAGCAAAAAATAACGGAATCCCAGCCCCGAACGGGTGGTTTGAAGCTCAACACATCGACAATCTCTTGTGCGATACGGCCACCGTCAGCATCAAAGCAAATTCGGCCGCAAACCTGCTTGAGGGGCGTAGACGCTAGCTGCGTGTTGTCCTTGTCCAACACCGTGGCCAAGATGCTGAAATCAGGTCATGAAGCAAAGCGCTAGTTGCCGCCGGATCGCCTTCCTTGTCGTTATGAGAGGAGTCAAAACTCGACCCTATGAGAGGGTACTCTCCCACCTACTAAATCACTTCCCGAGTTGCTGGACTTTAGACTTTTAGGGAAGACCAATTTAGTGGCAAATAAAACAATGATGCGATTTGCTTGGCCAATCCACTCGATCGGAAGTGACGTAAAACTTGGAACCCACCAGAGGCTTTCTTGTGGAAACTTGTCCAAACCAGGACCTCCCCAGGATGACAGTGACCCGCCCTGGACACGACTGGCTTTTCATAGTCCCGTGTTGCAGTGATGTATGTTTGTCTCTCTGTTGCAGAGACAGCTCTTCCATGATTCAGTGCAACCCGAAAAGACAAGCAGGAACGGTATAGTCAAACCCCCGAAACGATAACTTCCCATTCGAAATCGCCCAAAGCAGTGTTAGGTGTTGCAGCTCGCTCATATGTATACTTCAACAATCATAACCCCAGTGCAAGGTTATCCCAATGCCCAACGCGGTGTTCATTAAGCAAAGCAGTAAATAAGACGTCTCCTGCGCAAATCCCACGACTGGAGTCTATGTATAACATATATATATATATATTATACAACCTTCAACAAGTGCAATGCAAGGTTTATTCACACAAGCATCCCCAAAACAAAAACTAAATCCGGTTTTCGTGCAGCAAACAAACAAACCAAAAGACGTTTCCTGCGGAGATGTCACAGGAGTGGAGTCTTTGGAGCTGCTTCTGGTGGCTTGGCTGGGTGTGAGCTGGGCCGCCCGGGGCTTTCACTGCTGCGGCTTCAGTCTGGGGATGCTGGCGCTGGAGCTGGCGGCTTTCCTTGGCCGCGAGACAGCGAGATGGGAGGGAGATGGCCATGGGTCAAAATCCAAATCGTAGCCCCAGTGAACATCCGATTCAATCCAACCACTAAAATAGGTTCTAACATGGGTGAGGCATGGATAGTTACTGTGGATGGTTGCGAAGTCCATGTCGCACCACCGTTCAGACATCCTGGTTTCTGATGGTTCCCTTGTAAATACCAACGACCAGTGGTTTCAACCATGGTGTCAAAGTGGTGCGAAATGGATTTCGTCCATCCACAGTATGGGAGGAGGGAGGATTCGCCCATGGCTGTTGGCGATTTGTGTTTTTACCACGAAACGGACCTCAAACGATTTGGAGGTTTGCAAGCGGCCCAGTTTTTTGTGTGTTACATTTCGAAGGCAAACCCGGATTTGTTCTGCAGGAAGTTCACCCAAACTCTGGTATTGGGTTGGTATTTGCTGGGTATTTGGGTGGTAGGGAAGCCAAAGGGTTTTGGGATTCCTAGAAAAGGACAGACCGGACAGACCCATTCGCTAAACCTTCGGTCCTTAGAATCGGCATGGCCGAGACATGCGAGAAAGCCAGCCGGACCGCCTCATGGGTCACCTGGTTGCTGGTGTTCTCCAGCCGGACCGGCTGGCTGGGAATAAAAGAGACGAGCAAACGAGGGGATGACTGGTCTCACCCACCAACCACCAGCCAGACCGATTGCCTGAATCCCCTGTCTTGTGTTTTTGTCTTTTTGAGGTTCCAGCAGCGCCCCTTTCAACCAGCCAAAGGTGATATCACTTTTTGCAGGGTCACGCTGGGATTCGTCTCTTGGTGGGTGATATTGATACGCGAGCAATATACCCTTGGTTGATTCGTAGGGGTTGTCCCCTTCTAGTGGCCGTCCTGCACTTTTGTGGGTGACATCCGCCTATTTTTCATTCGGGGGTCCCCATCAAAAGCAAAATCCGGTCACAATGATTGAAAGTCACCGCATCCCATCTCACTTGCAAGGAACCAGCAACAAGGTCAGAAGAAATGACACGCAGCAGTGGCCCACAAGAAATTGTTAGGATATATGGACCATTTTTTTCGCCAACCAAGGGAAAACAAGCCATTTGGGGTCCTATTTCGACACATACATGGGCTATCCCCTTTTTTCTGGTTTGAAAGGGAAGCCAAAGACCGAAGGCCATTTTCGGGGGTCCCCTTAAAAAGCGCCGAGTTATTCAGCTGTTGCCTAGTCGTGCTCCCAGGGGATCTGCGGGAGTGGCTGGAAGCCTTCTTCGCACTGCAGCTGGTCATCGTCTCGGTCTTTTGGCTCGGCATGCTGGTGGCCTGCTGCCCTTCGGCAAAAAATGAGACTAGGTCCCCCAGCTTGGTGCCCTTTGACCGTTTCTTTTTTGGTTGGGAGGGTTCCCCTACTAAAATAGACTACAGAAAAAAAAGGGTACCCTTGTTCGAACCTCTCTACTGGAGGACCTAGGAGAGACGCTCACGCGCGCGGCAGCGAGCCATTGGCAACTGAGTCCCTCAGGTCTCGAAGGTGTGGGGGAGCAATGGCGACTGACTCACTTCAGTGGATTCGCAAAAAAGAAAGGCAACCAAGCTTTTACTAGAATGGTGCAAACCCCCAAAGTCACTAAGTGCTAGAAACTCTGAGAGTCAATGGACTACTCAGACGTTCGGCCAAGTTAGCAAGTAGCTGGAAGGTTAGGTGACAGCCGCATCTAAGTCCCCCGTTCAGCGGAGTTCACCCTGTCGGTGGGGAAGAGAACCCAGGTGACGAACCACTTACGAACTTGGCGAATCGAACATCCAAGTAAACGTCTTAGCTACTAAAACCCTAAGGGTTCAAGTACATGTCCCTTTGAGGATGGGTTTTTGGGGTGTCATCCTTAGAAGATACCAAGCCACCCCTTTTTCAAGCTTCCTTTTTGGCTCTTCACGAGGGTCTCGGAACTTTCAGGTGCTTCGGGAGACATTGCTGAAGTTGGAGCGCTCAATGCCCAGCCCCCCGAACAAGAATCATCGAGGGAGTTTGTGGGGCACATCAAGTAAGCAGCATTTAGCTTTGTTTTCTTAGGATGCCCTTTTTAGGTTAGTTTAACGGGACCCCAACAAGGATAACCACAATTTTGGGTTTTGCAACATACCCATCTGGTCCATTGGAACACTTTATGTGCTGCATGCCTTTGGCACACTGAAACAAAATGGCCACTGTGCGAAGGTTCCTATGATTTTCAATGGCCTTCCCAATAGTTGCCAATCCTAGTAGAGGTGATTTTAGCGACTGAACAGGACTTACTAGGGTTCCTTTGGAATCATTGTTTGGGTTGCATCTCACCATTTCCCTGGACCCCAGAACAAGGTTACGACATTACGTGTGTCCAAAATATGCATGGAAGCCTCTTTTTGGATAGTATTCAAAGGCAGCCGAAGGGGAACCACCAATGAATCCTTTTGTTCAACGCTTGGTTCCAAGCTTGCCAAATGAAACACCCTACATGTTCTCGCCTCTTGGCAACCAATGTGGAATGAACCAATGATTTCAATCAAGTCCGTCAACAAGACCCAAGTAATGTTGACTCAGGATTAATAAACTCGTCACATAATTCGGGGGGGTGTTCCCTCCAAAAGTGATGACTCCCCACTAAAAGGGGACACCCCCCTATTAATCAACCCGGGGTGTATTAATCCAGGGTTAGAATTAGGATCCCCCTCGTTTCTTGCCCAATCTCATGGGAGCTGTGCCACCGGCGAGGCCTGGACGATTTCACCTTCTGCCCTTTGGATAGACACCTGCACAAGGCCGGGGGGTTTTGGCCAAACGAGGCGTGAGACCAAGGGTCGAAATAGGCAGACCGTTTGTTTAAGCCATCCAGGAAGTGAGAACGACGCATATTTGACCAGTATATTCAGGAAGAATACTGACTATGTTTGACCCATATGAGACAAGGGGCTGGGCAATTGCAGGTCATTCTCATTCTGAACATGACTGATCAGCACAGGCTGATCCATTGGTGATCCGTTGCAAACAATTCAATGCTGACTTGAGCTTAGTTCTGGTGCGTGAGTCGTGGTGAAATCTGGACAACTCAAACGGCTATTGGACAAAACAGCAATTTGGCTGTGAGAGAGCGCATGTCGCACCAAGTTTGGTTTTTTCTTGGAGGCCAGCCATACCCGTAGCTTTCTAGGCTTTTAGGGTTCAGTGGTAGTTTCCATTTAACCCCACTAAGAGTTGGAATTTTAGCGGGGGGATTTGAGGGCAGCCCAGTTTTTACCCCACAACCCCTTTCGAGTTGTTAGGCCTTCACAGGCGCACCTGAACAAAAACCGCTGTCAGTTCAACTGCTCAGTGCCAAAGAAAAGCCCGACTTCTTGTATTGGTTTCCCTTCGTTTCCCTTCAAGCAAGCCACAAGGTTATCTAGTATGTATATCATATGTAATGTACATAGGCATGTATATTATATATATATGTTGTTTGTTCTAGACCCTTCATTCGGGTATGTCTCGAAGATCGCGAGCCTCAACTGGTTTGTTCTGAATTTGCCCTTCGATACCTTTGGCAAGCAGTTGGTAACCGTTCGATATTATCACCCACTGAAAAGTCCCCAGCTCCGTGGAAGTATCCCTGTTAGTGGGTTGGCGAACCACTTCCGAACTTGGCGAATGGAGCATCCCAAGCAAAAAAAGTCTTAGCTACTAAAACCCTGAGGGTCCAAGCAAGTTTTTCCCTTTGGGGATGGTGTTTTGGGTGTCAGGGGGGGTAGACATATCCCTTGAGGACCCCAAAGGGGGCCTCTGGAACCCGCAGGGCTTCCGCCACTTCCTGCACTCCGCGGCGGCCAAGCGCTGCTTCCTGCACGAGCGCCTCGGCTCTCGGGTCGTTTTTTGGGGGAAGGGGTCGCGGTGGCCAGTTCAAACCCACTCCCCCTCCCCTCTATGCATAGGATTTTGGACTTGCGATTCTACTGGAACTCACCAGTCTGCAACTGTTGAGCACATCCAGTACCAGTGGAGGCACAGCTTCGTCGAACTCCAGACCAAGGAAATCACTCTTGCGGTGCCCTGATTGCTTGGATACTTTCCTGATGTTGCCGTGAAGCCCACCAGAGAAATGGTCCAGAGGCTGTCTTAAGACAAATCATCTTGGACTTCCTCAGGTTCCATGGCAACGTGAACGAGGCTACGGAAAAGTCAAGGAATATTTTTGCGGCGTCCTGTTTCCCTGGAACCGCGCGCATCAAACGAAAGGCTCTGGACCTGCCCTCAATGCTGGGAGAAGGGGTGCAATTTCCTTGGTTGCACTTAGCCTCTAGAAATGTTGCCAATCCCAAGTGAAAAGAATTGGTTTTGTTTCATATCCTTCTATCCCCCTGTTCCCATCTTGGGTGACTCTAATCACGCCAAAGACTTAGATCAAACAGCAACGGACAAGTGCCCGGGACTCCGCATAGGGTGTGGACCGCTCTGACTACCCAGCCACCATGGAACCCACAAATCAGGCGGAAATGGCAACCAAACTGGCACGAGGCTCCAAACTAGGCAATGTAGGGTTCTGGAATCCCATTGGAGGGGGTGGTGAGGGTTGCCTAAAACTCCTTAGGGAGCCTTAAGCAGCCCCCTGGGGCCACCCCCGGCATTGTTTAGGGTTTGGACCATTGCAGTTTCAGGTGGGTTTGAGTGATGCTCGAAGGTTGATTGAAGCTGCCCAATCCCAGAAAAGTGTGCCCAACCCTTATGTAATTAACTGTCTCCCCCCCGGAAAAAAAAGACAAATCAACACGGCAAACATATTTCCCACACCCCCGGCCTCACAAAAAAAGAGGTAACCCCTACCCTTCCCCCCCTGCCCTCCCAACAAAGCACGCCGTGAAACAAACCTGTCGGTACAAAAAAACAAACAGCTTCCCAGCGCCAGGTTCGCCAGCCATTGCGTGGCGCAGCTCCTCTTCGCGGATTTGCTGCGGCGACACCTGGGCTACACGCCGCCGCTCTGGCCGGCGCTGCTGCGCGCGCTGCCCCTGCAGGCTTGGGACGCACAAGGAAGGGGCGATGAAGATAGGTACTGTGGATATACGAAATCCTGCACCACCCTTCAGACATCCTGGTTTCTGATTCCCTTGTAAATACCAACAAACCTTGTGGTTTCAACCATAGGTCTCAAAGTGGCGGCGGTTTCGCAACCATCCGCAACCATCCGCAGTGCCGCTGACACACTCCCCACTCGATATGGGGTCCAGGATCGGGACCGGGGGACTGGGATCCCCGCGGGTCCCGCTGCATTCCCCGAATGGCACCGTAGTTATCGTGTCACAGGCAAGAGTCACACCGCGATGGACCGGGGAGTCTTACTGCCCTTGTTCTTGTTGTTGCTCTACGCATTTCCGTAGCCCCTCGCGTGTCACGAGAGGTTTGAACATGTTAGGTCCCATGGATAGCACGACAAAGACCTGTCTCAATCGCCTCGTTTCCTGAGTTGCTGGACTTGATACTTTTCGAGACGACCTTCTTTTGTGGCAAACACAAGTTTGGGCTTTTCCTCACCAATCCACGCAGGCAGTGAGAAGTGCCTGAGTCAATAACCAGTTTCAAGGTAATTGCGCATGGAGAAGCCTTGGCACAAACATGGAGCACATAGGAATTTCGCGAAGAGCCCCAGGAGTACTTCGAGATTTTGTGGGGCCCCTGATTTCGATTTTCCCGTCTAAGAGTGATGCTTGTTGTCTACCTGCGGTGGTGATGTGTTTGTGTGTTTTGGCGTGTTTGTGTGTGTGTGTGCTTAGCTCGCTTATTGCGTGCGACTGTGAAACCTGCAAAGCTTGGCAAATCACTGCCTGACCAAAGCGAGGCAACACAACCAGACGCACAAAAGTTATATTGGATCAGTTTTCCAAGGGACCCCCACCCAAAAAAAAGAAAATCAGGTCTTCCTTAGGTCTTCTTTCAACACATGTACCAAAAGGGATGCAACTTCATAGACGAGCCCCCCCTATCAACCTCATGAGCGGTGTTGCTTTGCGACCTTCGGAGATTTCTCACTCGATTCTCTCAGTGCGACCTCTCTGAAGGCCTTCTATGCAGCTATGGTCCTGTTTGCAGCCGTGGTGACTCCGCCCCACGCGCTGCCTTACAGCATGGGCACGGTGCCGAAGATTCTGCAGTTGCCAGTGCCTTAGGCTGATAAGCGAGAGCTGCATGTATTTGTATGTGTGTGTGGTTGTTTGTGTCTCTTTGTACTGTGTGTCTCTGTGCGTTTGTTTCTGTGTGTGTTTGTGTTTCCGTGTTAGTTTCTGTGTTTGCTTCTGTGTTGTTTGTGTGTTTGTTTGTGTGCGTGTGTGTGTGTGTGTGGGTGTGGTTCATTGCACGAGTGTGTATCTGTGTGCGCGTGTGTGTGTGTGTGCCTGCGTCTTAAAACTGCCATGGACGAAACAAGCGGCGACTGGGAAGCAAACTCACTTCTGGAAACACAGGGTTGTGATTTACCAAACACACACTCCCCTGGCAACAAATAGGAATCTGAGGAGAAACCAGCAGACACCCGTGCCTTCTGTTGGCTTGTATAGAAAACGCAGCTGCCATTTTGAGCGTCTCCCTTACCAAAATTACAACGAACAACAGCCACAGGCACCGCACATGTGTCGTTTTCGCGTTGTTGCTGTTTCGGTTCAACGATACACGGGCGATTTCTTTGATTGTTCATGTCCAGTGCCTGCGCATTCCTTTTCCCCCCCCTTTATGATACCCAGGCAAACCCTGTGTCGCGATACACCCAGCGCAGTGGACTTGGCTTCCCGGCAGTTAGGTGCCTTTACCTGCTTGGCTTCGGGGTGACGGCGCTAGAGGAAGCCACTCGGCACAGAGCTCTTGAGATAGGCGCTGACAATTTTATTTGGGCATGTCCATTTGTGAGGGTACCCACTTATTGCAGTTTAAAGGCAAACCAGACGAGAAGCCCAAAAGCTTGGTCCCCTAAAAAAATACACACCCGTGTTGCTGATAGTCTTTGTTCCAGGACATGAGGCCAAAGTACACGCTGCGGGCAGCCGGTCTTCCCGTGAACGGGGGATTGATGAGCCGTTTGGTGCTATGGCTATGAATGAAAAGGGAGCCAAAGGAAAGCTGATGACACAAGTAACTGGACAGCGGCGTGGTTTCTAAGCTATACTGTCTGTCCAAAAGCTTCCATTCGGTTGAGAAGTGTTCTTATTTCCCCTGTTGGCTTCAAAAGGAGTCTATCACTGGGCATGCCTTTGCCAGGGACTTAAGCAATGGTAGAACATAATAAAAGTGGACAAGGGTGCCTCTTTAAGAGGACAGCAGTCTTCCAAAACCCGATATGGTCAGGTCCACTTCCATGATTGTTGGATATTGTTGGCAAGATAATAATGCTTGATTGGGAACACTCTACGTTGTTTTGTCTGGAAACCCGACCAGGCACGTGGTCTCCACCAATTCATTCCCGTATGTTTTTCGTGCGGGCGAATCGACCTGAGATTCGCTGTGTTCAATCCGTTTCGGCAACATTGCTGGATTGGTCAGCTTACTTCAGGTCATTTGTAAAGTTGCTTCGACAGTTGTTGGTTGCGTCTGGGACACCGCCAGTGTGTCCTATATGTTGACACAGATCCAAACGTGTTTTGTTTTGGCTTGACGACTGCTTGACACCTTTTCTCACTCTCTGGGTTCCTGGACTTCAAACTTTTTGGGAAGAGCAGTTTAGTGGTCAAGACAAGTTCCGACGTTTTTGGGCCAATCCAGAAACTCTCACCCCTGCCTTGCTTGCTCGCTCGGTGACTCGCTTGCTGGCTTGCCTGCTCGCTTGCTCGCTTGCTCGCTCGCTTGCTCGCTTGCTTGTCTTTGTGTTTCTCCGCGTGTGCTCGTCTGTTTGTATGAACGCTTGCTGCCTTGCTTCCTCGATTGCTAGGAAGAGGAACTGCTTTGTGTAAGTTTTACCAAGGGACTTAGGGTCTCCAGTATTGGGACGTCCTTGCTGTGGATGGATAGAATCCTACACCGGCTGATAGATGGTCTATCCCAGTATTCAAATCGGGTGTCATCCATCCCGAGTAGTGCCTGGCGTGCATGTTGTGCATCCACGGAATGATGTAAGAACTGTGCTGCTGGCTTCTGACTATGTCATGGGTGTCGAGGCCAGGCATGAAACGAGCCCGCCATCAATAAGGGATTCTTTAGTTGGGTCTCTTTGTTTTAAAGGGTGCCCTTTCTTGGTTCGTTTTACGGGGAAGCCAAAGGGAAAGTAACCATTTTGGGGTTTCCTACCCTACCACCAATTGACATGGAACGTGACCTTTCGGGGGGTCCTGGTTTGGACATTGTTTCCTTTGTAGAGGGACCCTCGGAGGTTCAGGTTCCATGTTAACCCCAGAGGCGTGGACAAAGACAACTTCCCCTGGTGGGCGAAGATGCCACAGATGGAGGACTGAGTTGTCAGAATTTGTGCTCGCTTCTGGGAATACACCGGGATGTCCAAGAACTGGGGGACACTCCCCGAGTTGCGGGACTTAATTCACTGTTAAAGGGACTTCTTGTTGGCCCATCCAGGAAAGATCTTGAAATCTGGTTGGCCTTCTGGCTGGGAAGGGGTTGCATCATGTTGCGCCCGAAAATCAGCGGACAGCTGCGAAAGGGTGTGTCAAAATTTACAGGCAAGAATATGAATCTAAATGTCAATCTTTCGGATGGGGTTTCAGAGGCAAAGGGCTAAGAGAAGCAGACCACCTATACAGTGATCCCCTGCATTTGGGAAACGCCCCAAAGGTTTTTGACACCAACAAACAGCAGTCTCTCGATTGTTCCACTTCCAACAGGGAACCCTGCAGAGTTTCCAGCTGGGCTAACCCAGGCCCCCCTTTACGACTCGTTGACCCCTTTGATCAGAGCCCCTAAGAAGGTTTTGAAGATTGCCTGGGTCTTAACAGTGTTTCCTCCATTTCCCTTTTTGGAGCCTCCAAAAGTGGCAGTTTCAATGGAAACCGCCAGTAAATTTAAATTTAATATGTTTTATTCGAAATGTAAAAATATATAAGGCATATTAGAAAGCTTGGATAATGATGGTGAAATTGGCAGGGATGGAGGCTGTTGGCGGGAATATAGGTTATTATTGTTTCCATTGAACCACTAAACGTTAGACTTTTAGCAGGGATTTGGGAACAGCCCAGTGGTTGTTTCCCTTCAGAAGGTGTGTTGACCTCGCGATTCCCAAGGCGATTCCAAAAAATTTCGTGAAGGGGTGCGACCCAAAGAGACACGGCGATTTTACCTGTGTTCATTGGACAACTCTTCAAACAGCTCACTGGATGTTCGGTCAACACCTCTGTCAGAAGTAGAACTGCGATGCGCTCAGTGTCGGAATGCTCTCTCCAGGATATATTAGATAATCCACGCTGGCCAAAAGGCCAGCTCACCTATGAGTGTACCTTGCTCGGCGTTTCCTGACTTCCATTTATTTGAATTACTCACTCCCGAAGTTCATGGACTTTTGTCACTTTTTGGGTTTGGACGCATTTACCTGTTTTTGCGCCAGTCCACTCAGTATATCTAGTAACCGGACGTTTCAACACGCATGTCCCAATATGGAAAGAAACAGGTGATGGGTATTGTTATTCAAGACCCTTGGGCACTTGGCAACACCAGGCTTTCAAGATGCAGAGTGAGCAGACCTGCAACAAATGCGTTCGTGCGTTCGTGCGAGCCTTTCGGTCAGGACCTCAAGAGGGGCAAGGAGGACTAGACATGAGCGATATGCCGGCACTCGGCACGAAATCTACGACCCCCAGTTGCCCAGTCACACCCCGTTTGCCTGGTTCTTTGGAACGGGTTTCCCTCCAAAATTGAGCAATAGACAAAGCTTGGTGGCTCCCAGCCATCCCTTAGCCTTTGAGCTTTTTAGTGTTTTGTGGGGATTTCCAGTTGACCCACTAAAAGTTAAACTTCTAGCGGGGGATCTGAGGACAGCCCAAAAAGAATGCCGTGGTTTTTCGCATACAGTCTGTGTCACTGGGCTTCTGGGAGACATCGCCTCCTGTTGAGTTCCAACAGGGGGTTGGTGTTCATTGCTTGGCAAAAAAGCGGGGGCTGCGCGGAATGCCGAGCATCGGAGGAAACCAGTGGTCTGGCTTGCCACGTATTCCTTATTTGGGCACCCATTTGCAACCACAATGAACGCACCATTTACAGCATGTTTGGTTTCAATCTGTTTTGGTCCAGGTTGACCAAATTGATTTCCACTGTTTCGTTGGGGATCTTTGTGCAAAAGAGATCGACTTTGCCCATTGCAATGCTCTCCCATGTCATCTTAGTTGTCTCAAGGCTACAGCAAAGGGGACAGCGACAAGGTGAAGCATGGTTGAACTTCTTTCGCATGTTGTAAGAAACTCTGCATGTTGCCTTTTTCGCGATAAGGTTAGCACTGTTCCTGAATTGTCCCTTGCCTTTTCCCTACATGTTCCGCGTGCGCGAAAAATGCAGGCCATGTCCTCAAAGAACTCGACGCGGGAGCAGACCACGATGGGGAGCTTCCTGTGTCCTCCTGGCCAGTTGATTTGTGGTTTCCTCAACCAACCAACAACGGGGTCCCCTAAAGAGACAGACCCACATGGACCCTTGAAGGATACCAACCAACAAATCACCCGATACATTACATGCAGGACTCCTTTGAAACAGCTGGTACAGCCGGGGGAGTCTCCTAGAAAGAGACATGACACGCCCATGTTTTGAAGGGTCAGTTTTATCAGACTCGTGATACCAGCCAAAGCAAAGTGTTCTTCTGTCCTTCTGCCCACCGCAGGTTCTGTTTTGGTGCTCCGGCTCCCCACTTTGGGGTTGACTTTGGATTCGGGAACGAAAGGGAAACCGCCCATTTGGAGACAAACCCAACTAGATTTCCCAGAGGGGTTGCGAGCTATGAATTTTCATGGCCAGAGCACACTCAAATGCGCGGGGGCTGGAATTAAAAGGCAGGAATAAAGGTTCTCCCATAACAAGGCGAGCCTCGGGAACGGCCCCTAAAAGAGGAATCGGACCTCCAAGATGGTGGGTTTCCCATTCAAAACCACAAAAAAGGAGTACCCTCCCCCACTTGCAGGGTTGTTCTTCAACTTCTTTACCCGAATCTGGAAGCTGATTTTGAAGCGACGGGTTCCTTTGCTTCAATCCTCCCCTCCCCTCCCTCCCCCGCAGCCCCCATGAAGTGCTTTGGCTCGGTCGGACCGTGAAAACTTGCAATCGGCCCGCACAGGGCCGTCTTTGACCTCCTAGGCTCTATCTTCCGGCATATGGGTGTGTTGTTTGGTGTTGTTTCTGTTTTTTGTTGTGTGTTGTTTTTTTTTGCCCGGGAGGGGGCCGCAGGGCGTGGCTCTTTTCTTGGTGGGTTTTTTACAAGGACACCAAAAAGAAGCCGCCCATCTTGGGGGGATCCCCACAGCGTGCATGCAAAACGTCGCGAACCTGGTCATTTGACTGAGAGATCGCTCCTGGAAGAACTTTCTCCAAGAAACCTGGTGGGTTCCATGTCAGTGCGCCGGAAGGCACGCCCTCCATGGCTTTTGTTGCAGCCGACACCTGCTTGTTGCCATGTGGGTCTGAATTTTAATTCGGGACCCTTTGGTGGACATCAGACTTCGGTGGGGATCCATGTCCGCCAAGCACTTTGGCACAGGCAAAGGGGGGCTCCCTATTAACTTGGTGACTCCCAGCCATGCCCTTAACTTTTCAGCCTTTTAGTGTTTAGAGGTAGTTTCCGTTTGGCCCGCTGAAAGTTGAACTTTTAGCAGGGGATCTGAGGGCAGCCCAGTTAAGAACTCATAGCCAGCTCCAGAAAAGGTCAAAGGTCTCGTTTCCGTCGCGCTCATCCAATTGGTCTCATGCGCCAGGCGATGCGCTGAAGAGGGAGCTGGATGTCCAATGCGTGCTATTCGACGGGGGCAACATCCGAGGAATCAATCCGAGGGGTGCAGGTTCCTTTGGGGGAGGAAAATCGAGGAGATATATGGACACTTAATTGGATGGTTCCTTCGCCAAGTTAGTAAGTGGTTAGCCAACTCAGAACTCACTACCAACCGGCTTATTTCCACTTTGGGGGACATTTGAGGGGTCATAACCTGCATTAACAGCAACTTACTATCTTGGCCGAACACGCAAGTACGGAACTCTGTTTGTCTCAGAGGTGGTTAGTTCCAACGTTGCTTTCTATTTCGGACTGGTGGTTTTGGGATTTGAACCCCACTTCCTTTGCAAAGTCACTGTGTGTCTTGTTTCAAATATGTCCAAAGCCTTATGCCAGATGCAAGTGCCGCCCCTTGTCGTAGTGGACACTACGGATTGCAGATTAGGATCAGGGATCCCCCATTTTGAACTACGTCGATGGATGTTGTGTTCCACATTGAGAAACACATAGTTGCCATATGTCAGATAACTATGCACAGGATATATGTATATATATATACACATACACATACACATACACATACATATCGCTGACAATCCAATGTATGCATATATCGCCTACATTAACCGACGTCACCGTTTTTCAACTACAGTGGTCCGGAAAACCTAAATGTAGCCAATTCTGGGGGACATTCAAACCGACAACTTCCGACAAGGCTTCCGACAAGCCTTCCGACAATAAGTTCGCCGACAATTTCGAGCACTCCATCCCACGGCGCCCTCCACCCTTGTCCAACTCCTTTCCGACCGCCAACTTTAGCCCACAATGCAGGAAAAACAAGGGCACGCCTCAAAGTGATCGGACAAAACATTTTTTTCCGCGCATGACTGGCAACAACGACTGGGCACCTGGGCACAAAGTGACTCGAGCTAACCCGCGGCGATCATTGTCGGTGAATGTTGATTTCCCGGCAACTTCTGATTGTAGCGTCAACCTTTTTGAAAGAAGCAAGCCAGACGCGGTGAAGCAGCACGTGTGCGATAGTTCAATCTCTTCAGGCCACAACATGAAGCACATGTCCAGCGCAGGGTGACGCTAAGGCAACGCCGGTTGGCAAAGATCAATCAACAAACATACCCTGAGAATCCACGTAGGCAAAAATGGCGTACTTTCCAATGTAGCATTTCTTGCGGTACATTGCCAATTTAAAGCGCATTGAGGACATGCGGCAGCGATAGTGGTGTGCTTCATGAGTGACTTGTTGCTTTCTTTCTCCAATGGTACGTTTGTAGCTGCAACAGCTGTTGCTTTTGGACACGGCGGTAGTGTGATTTTGAGCTCAGGCGAGACCTGTGGGATGTTTTCTGTCCCCAGCCGCATCTTGGCCGAAGCTCGCGCAAGCCAAGTTTCGCATTTCTCGTGGCTTCGCAATGCTGCCGACTTTTGTGCAGGCACGACAACATTGTCGACTGCGGCGCCCACATCGGCTCGTTCGACTTGTGGGCAGGCCTTTGCGCAATGGATGACCAGACACTGGCCATAGGCGCCCCATTGTTTGATGTGGATGAAACATAGGCAGGCTTGATGCCACGCCCCGCAGTTTCAGAAACTGCCGCAGCACCTCGAAGTTGCCGGGCTCGTGCAAGATGTAGTGGCCGAACTTGCAGGGGTGGTCGGGCTTGCGGTCGCCTTCGCCTCGCACTTGTCCGTCAACTCTGCTGCCGACTGATAATCAATGATTCAATCAAGGGGGTGGTCAACATACGCCGCGTGTTGAAACGAACAAGTTGGGCTTGTGCAGCGATGCTCTTTAACAGAAACACGTGCGCAAGAACAGGCAAGCAAGTCAGAAGGTTGGCAGCTGAAGATCAACTCGCCATGCTCTCCCATGCCTCAGCAGCCAAGTTCGCCACACATTGGTGCATCCCAGCAGAGGTGTAGCCCGGGAGAATGTAGATGATAGTTAACCCCAAGGTATCACTTATAATCCCAAGATATGGGCCTCCGATCCGCCCTCTACCGCCTCTCTTCGCGGCGCAGCTGCCATCCATCGCAGCAGACAAGCTGCATTGACATGGGTAGGGCCTGTGGGCGGGAGTTTGTCAAGGTTCTGGCCAAGAGCCTCAGCGACATGGCCGCAAAGCTTCTGGCTTCGGATTCTCACAGCTCCAAAACGAACCTTTCATGAGGAATGCTTGAGGGGGCAATATTGAAAAGAGCGTGAACATTGGTAACTTTAAAAGAGAACTTGTGCATTCATGTACTCAGATAGTATTGCTGCCGCTGGCCTTTGTTGTCCGATACTTCTGGTTGGCAGTGGGTTGGAAAATCATTGCCATCAGGCTGGGCGCAGACGCAGTGCTTGAAACTTGCTGGCGCTAGATCACATTCTGCGGAAAGCTGTGAGACCTGCGCGGTGTTCGCCCATCTAAGTGCCTGGCCGAAGATTGGCCTCGTCCACGGGGCCATTTGGTCAAGGTGCGGCACCACCCAGACTCTTCTCTGCAGCAAAAAGAGAACGCGTGAGAGCACTGGGAGCAATGGCGCACGCATACCCTGTGGTTGCTTTAAAGGCTTCCCAGGTCGTCGGCTCTACGGGGGCTTTGTAGAATTAGTGTACGCCGTTGCCTTCCCCTCTTCAAGTCTTTCATATTCCGCGGGCGGCTCTGACCTTGCGAAAGTGTTGGGGCTGCACTTTGTTTGCAATTGACCTTGAGACTAGCAAAGACTTCAACAAACGCAACATTGGTTCTGTACGCGCATATGGTTAGTTCTAATGGCACTCAAAAGAGAGTGTGTGTGTCTGTGCAATCTTATGAGAAAGCCGCCTAAGTATTGAGTACGCT